GGCAGATTCGCACACTCATGTAGATGAATGATCTGCTCAAGGCACCGGGCGAACTCAAGCGTAGACCTGTATACATGTCCTCCACTTGGCCCAGGCATGGCCGTTTTTGTTGACGTGAGGCATTATGGGGCCTGATCGGTGTCCGTTTCACAGACACAACTTTGTAACCACTTGGCGGGTTTCATCGCAACGGCGTCACTTCCCAAAGTTCTGCGATGGTGAACCGTGCGGACGGTCTGCTTCGGCAGATTCGCACGCTCATGTGGAAGAACCGTCTGCTCAAGCAGCGGCATTACTTCGCGACCACTCTCGAGATTGCCATCCCGGCGCTCATGGTGATCTTGTTTGCGTACTTCAAGACTCTCCAGCCCAACACGCCGATCGACGCAGGATTCGTGAGCAGTGAAAGAAGCGTGAGCATGTTCCAGACGGACAACACTCGCGTGGGCAGCAACATCGGGACGTGGAACAGCCCGAACGCGCCCTCCTTTGGGTTCACCGAGTCGTCCATGACAGCGCTCTTGATGGCGTACGCTTCCTGACCATAATCTTTCAATCCGTAACCCAACGACTTAGACTGCCGTATCAAGCATTGGACGACTTTCAGCGAAATTCGACGAACCAACTCATTCAATCTGACATGACAGTATGTAAAACCAAGTTTCTGTACCTCGGTTACACAAACACCGACCCTGCTTCCCCGTTTGCCGTCCCCGCGGAATGCCGAGGTACCATCGATGCTCGCCTCAACATCTCAATTTCGATGTAGGCAAGTTTATCCCGTACAAGCTCGCTATTGCACCTAAGAACGACTTTACCGTCAACTACTTCAGTCAAACCATGGCTGCGTGGTACCCGGAGGTTCCGCTGTCGAACCGCTCAACGAACGCGTTCAACGCGACGCCGATCGTGCCGAGTTGGTCTAACTCGGTGATGTTCTTCGACTCGGCCGATGCCCTGCAAGACTATGTTTCGGGTACATGTTTTTACATTTCTTGCTGCATATGTTTACCGATGTCTACAGGCACGAATTATGGCACGGACACGGCTCATCCAAAAATTTACGCTGGCATAGTCTTTGACTCGTTCCCGTCGGGTGGCCAGATTGGCACGGCAGCCCCCATCGAGTACACGATTCGTATTGACTCGACACAACGCGAAGGCGGAGACGTCGGAAATGTTCCCCACACCGCTAACAACGACCCCAAATTTGTCAACCCATTGCAAAAGAACATCAATGTTCGGCACTACAACACGTACGTCCGCCGCGGCACGAACACGCTGCAGACGCTCGTGACCAAGTTCCTTGCGTGCCTTCCGACATGGAACAGTGTCGGGAAAACCACCAACGGCACGTGTCAGCAACCCCAGTCGCTTGCCGCGTCGACGACGTCGGTGATGAATCGATTGACTCGACAAATCTTGAATGACGAAGTCCTTCGATATGCGCTACAAATGGTGGCTGGTGATCCGCAACTCGGAATTGGAATGTCAGTGCCCATGCTCTTGGACAGCTTGCCACCGGCATCGGCCGCAGCCCTTCTACGACCGCTCAAGCAAGCGCCCCAAGCAACTTTGGGCGCGACGACGTATCCGTTTCCGATCCAAGCGTACATCGAAGCTCCTTTTTACAGCATGGTGTCGCAAGTGTTTTCGACCATTTTTATCTTGGCGTACTTGCACGCCGTGTCGCGGGTGATTGTGGTGCTGACGCAAGAAAAGGAAACTCGCGCGCGCGAGCTCATGAAGATTCTCGGTGTCCGCGACTCCGCGATCGTATTGTCGTGGTACATCACGTACTTTTTGATCTTTTTGGTGAGTTCGATTCTGGCGGGCCTCGCAGGCACGGCGCTGTTCCCCAACACGAGCTTTGGTTACCTCTTCATTCTCTTCTTTCTCTACTCGACGTCCATTTTTGCGTACGGATTTCTTGTGTCGTGCATCTTTTCCAATTCCAAGACGGCCGGGACTGCCGGCAACGTCGTGTACTTTATCTTGGCGTTCCTGGGGAACTTTGCCACGTCGTCGCTCGAACCGGTCAAGATGACGTTCTCGCTCTTGTCCCCCGTAGCCTTCACCTTTTGCATTGGGGTAAGCCGATCCGTTCCTTTGGTGGGAGGTCGTCCTTACGCCCGGGGCGGATTGAATAGACGTTGTCTAACGTCGAAAGCGTCTCTACCGGTCTGACGGCAGCCAACGCAAATACTGTCTACAACAACTTCCGTTTTCAAGGGGGCCTCGGCATGCTCGTATTGGACACGATCTTGTACACGGCGTTGGGATTGTATCTGCAAGAAGTGCTGCCGCAGGAATACGGCACCCCTCGCAAATGGTACTTTCCATTGCAGGTGTCGTTTTGGCGAGGGCGCGGCGTCGTGCACGCGCGAGACTGCGACAAAGTCATGGAGATTGTCCAAGACATGAGCAATGTAGAGCCGGTCGGCGTAGAAATGCAGGTAAGTCGACTTGAAATGGACTTAGGTGTACGTGGAACGATCTTCGTCACAAGCCATATTTCTAGGCGCAGGAGAACGACGGTCGAGCGTTGAAGATTCGCGGGATCCGCAAGACTTTTCAAACCCCGATGGGCATCACGAAAGTGGCCGTGAATGGCGTGGACTTGACCATGTACCAAGACCAAATCACGTGTCTATTGGGCCACAACGGCGCGGGCAAGGTACATCGACAAGCCTTGACAGAATCAATTTGATTGTCGTCCACAGACTACGTTGATTTCGATCCTGACTGGCATGATCCCGACGACGACGGGAAATGCATTCTTCAGTGGCCACTCGATCCTGGAGAACATGAAGGAAATCCGCCAGTCCCTGGGCATGTGTCCTCAGCACGACGTGCTCTATGCGGACATGACTGTCGAGGAACACTTGATCTTTTACGGCCGCATCAAGGGCTACTCTGGTGCCGAGTTGAAGGACGTTGTCAACAGTACGTCCTCCGATGCTGGACGAAATTCTAACCCCCTGTCGCAGAAAAAATCGCCGAAGTTGGGCTCACGGAAAAGCGCCACGTATTCACGGCCAGTTTGTCCGGGGGCATGAAGCGCAAGCTGAGTGTGGCGATTGCACTGCTCGGGGACAGCCAACTTGTCTTTTTGGACGAACCAACGTCTGGCATGGACCCGTACAGCCGTCGAAGCACTTGGTACAGCATCACCAACGAAACGCCAAGGATTTTTGCTAATGGAGAACTTGCAGGGAGTTGATCCTGAACAATCGCATGAACCGCGTGATTGTGCTGACGACGCACTTTATGGACGAAGCCGACATTCTTGGCGACCGAATTGCGATCATGGCCGAGGGCAAACTGCGTTGCTGCGGCTCGTCGCTGTATCTCAAGAACAAATTTGGCGCTGGGTATACGCTCACCTTGGCGAAGACAAACCTCTCGACGCCGAGGTAGGAGCATTCAACTATTGTACCTTTAGATGTCGTACCCACGTTTGAAACTAGCCATGAGATTGCCTTGATGTCGTTCATTCAGAGCCACATTCCGTTGGCCACGTTGCTGAGCAATGTCGGTTCCGAGATCAGCTTTCAACTGGCGATTGAGAGTTCGCCCAAGTTTCCCGAGATGTTTCAGGAGTTGGAGACGCCAGCGAAACAAGAAGAGTTGGCAATTTCGTCGTTTGGTGTCTCCGTGACGACGCTTGAAGAAGTGTTTATCAAGGTGGCGGAAATCAGCGACGACGATGGTCAGCACACGCTGGACAAGCACAAATCGGGCGACAAATCGTCCGCGTCAAGCTATTCGGTCCAGGGTCTCGAACGATCGGCGAGTTCCTTGTTTTTCCAGCACCTCTTTGCCTTGATTCAAAAGCGCTTTCGCGTCGCGAAGCGCGACAAGAAGTCGATGATCTTCAGTATTATGCTGCCAATTGTGTTTTTATACATCGGACTGAGCTCGCTAGCCAACAGTTCGTTGCTGTTCAACGATCCAAAGATCCGCCTCGACCCTTCTATTCACTATCCCCAAGGCCAAAGTACCCCAGCTCCGTTTATGTGCGCAAAGGACGACGGCGGAGTGTGCACCAAGTGGGGCCAGCAGATCCAACGCGCCACGCCAGCTCCACTCATGGCGTCGGTATCGCCCAACCCAACGCTCAAAATCTTTGGCATATGGTACAACACATCAGATCCCGAACTTCAAGCAAAGTTCGGGCCCCATGCAGACACGTGCTTACTTGTGGCCGACAAAGTGTTCCACCGTGCGTACACCGACATGATCGATGGACAATTTGGCGCGTTTGTCCTGTACGCATCGACGTCCGACCAAATTCTGAGCTACAACATGCTGGTCAACACGACGGCAACGCACGCAGCGGGTGTGTTCAAGGCCGCTTTGGACGAAGCTCTAGTTCAAATGCTCCATGGAAAGTTCCCAGTCACGGTATGGACTGCCGTGGAGAAACTGGACATACAGGTCGCTGACTTGTGACGGTTGTTGCTAGGTGAATTTGTACCCTTTTCCACTGACAGCGTCGGTCAAAGCGCTCTTTAGCTCGGCGCTGTCGTTCTTGGCATGCATTATCATTTCGCTAGCCATGTCGTTCTTTCCAGCGTCGATCGTCATATTCCTTGTCAAAGAGAAGACCAACGAACACAACGCCAAGCACCAGCAACTCGTTTCTGGTGTCAGTTTGCCAGCGTTCTGGCTCGCCAATTACGTGTTTGACGTTCTGCTGTACGTGATCCCGCTGGCGGCAGCGCTCATCATGATCAACACGTTCAAGATTCAGAGCCTCACGGGCACAGACTGCCCTGCTTGTGCGACGGACACGCCCGCTGCAATTGTCACGATCTTTGTCCTCTTTGGCTTGGCAATCATCCCATTCACTTACTGCATGTCGTACGTGTTCAAGAACCACGCGACGTCGCAAAATTACACGCTACTCGTCAACATCTTGCTTGGCCTCGTCCTCATGATCGCATCCTTCGTGATGAACCTGTTCGAGTCGACTAAAACCGCCAACGCGTCGCTCATATACATCTGGCGCCTGTCGCCACTCTTTTGCCTCAGCAATGGCTTGCTAAAGTTGTGTTTGCATTCGCTGCTTGGTCTCTTTACCAAGAGCGGTGCCGTCAGCGCGTTCAGCGACGACATCATGGGGTACGAGATCAAGTACTTGGCCGTGCTGTCGGTCGTCTACTTGGCATGTGCCACTGGGATCGACCTCGCACTCAGCTTCCCCAAGATCAAATCTTTCTTTGTCCGCGACCCCAACTTGCCCACCAAGGTGTACGAAGAAGACAAAGATGTTGCTGATGAAGCCAAGCGCGTCTTCGATGGCCGCGCCGACCAAGATACGATCGTGATCAAACAGTTAAAAAAGGTTTACAGTGGCAACAAGATTGCTGTGCGAAACCTCTCGTTTGGTTTGCACAGGGGCGAATGCTTTGGGTATCTGGGGGTACGCGATCCGAGGTGATGTGATTCGTTTTGCTTCACCACCCACGTAGATTAATGGAGCGGGCAAAACGACCACAATGAAGATGCTGACCGGTGACATCTTGCCGTCGAGTGGCCGAGCAACGCTGGGCGGGTTTGACATCCTCACGCAGCAACTCCAAGTGCGCCGACTCGTGGGATACTGCCCCCAGTTCGACGCGCTCTTCGATCTTCTCACTGTTCGCGAACACTTGGAGTTGTTCGCAAAGATTAAAGGAGTGCCGCGGAAGGACGTCAACTTGGTCGTGATGGAGAAGATGCGTCAGATGAACCTGAACTCGTTTGAACACAAACTCGCGGGAACGTTGAGTGGTGGCAATAAGCGCAAGTTGTCCGTGGCCATGGCCATGATCGGGTCTCCGCCCATCATCTTCTTGGACGAGCCTTCCACGGGGATGGACCCTGTCTCGCGCCGGTGCGTCCACTACTCGCCACGAACTTCATCAAATCCTTACGCGCTTCTTGCCATCCTTAGGTTTATGTGGGATGTGATTGCAGATGTCTCCACGACACAGAAAGAGTCAACAATTGTGCTGACAACGCATAGCATGGAGGAATGCGAGGCCCTGTGCACCCGCGTGGGCATCATGGTTGGCGGACGCTTGCGTTGCTTAGGAAGCGTGCAGCATCTCAAGAGTCGCTTTGGAGACGGGTTCATGGTCCATGCCAAACTCGAACTGGCAACTCGTGACGCCATTACCGCTTTCTTCGACGCGTCCGTCAAAGCCCATTGTGTCACCCCATCGCTTGAATGGGACATCACCCACGATGACGTAGGCGATATTGTCGAATTTTTCCGTTCTCGCTCACACACGTGCTCTCGATGGTAGGCTGTGAAGCTGTGTAAGACGCTTGGGGCGCCTGAGCGCGCGGACTGGTTAACATCCAAGCATGCCACCGGATATGCGTTGGAAGCGGTGTGGGAAAGCAAAGGCAAGCTTCCAGTAGGCACGTTCTGCGCGTGGTGGGTCGGCGAGACGAGATTTGAACAGCTCCAAGCGTACTTGACGAAGACGTTTGTGAATGTGACGTTGCTCGAACGCCAGAACGAGCACAGTCGGTTCAAGCTCCACGAGCACGGGGACACCCCGCTCCGTCTGTCGAGGGTGTTTGCCAAGATGGAAGAGAGCAAGCCAACCTTGTTCATGAACGAGTACAGCGTGTCGCAGACCACGCTCGAGCAGATCTTCAACTCGTTTGCGAAGGAACAGGAGGAAGAGAAAATCGTCGCCCGCGGCATTGCCACCAAGTAGCGCGATGACATCCCTGTTGATACATATATTCATTTGTCTTTACCGATTCAAGTGAAAACGTCTTGCGCTCGAAAGTCGCATAACCTCCAGTGTCCACAAAGCGACCACTTCAAGCGCCCGACATCGTGTGATCTTTGCAACATGCGGCACTTTCGTACCAGTGGGCGAACGGAATGGCGTCACCACGCCACCCGTGATGCCTGCTGCAGTTTTCAGAGAACTTGACGAGGGAAATGTCAACTCTCACGTGCAGTCGAACAATCTCTTGTGGCTGTACCTTGTTCACAGTGCTAGCTCGAATGGTTGAAAGCCTGCTTGCTAGAAGCTAACCAAGCGGTCCAACCCACCATGTGTACTCTACTGGATGGGAGCGCACACAATTGCTTTCGACGGACGGATCCACGGCAACGTGTTGTATCTGGGCAAGGCTCGAGCCGGCCCGATTGCCGTCCAAGTACATGGCGCGAAATACACACTCGAGTGGGAGCCGCAGTGTTTTGCATTGCGAGCGCCTGTGACGGACAGAGGAGATATCAAGCGGCGACTGGACAAGGGTTCGAGGGATGGGATTGATCTACTTAGTATCTCTCGCCCGAATGTTCAGGTACAAGTGAACCTTTCGTCCCAAGAGCATTTCAATGTCCTTTCGCGCCGCCGTCCCGACTTCGCGGAGGGTGTCGCCTTTCTTGCCCAGCAGCGTCTTGACGTGGCGGTCGGACGGAACCTAATGGGGCAAACACACTCAGGAGCGATTCCACCAAACACACACACGCAGATCCTTCAGTACCCAAAGGTCTTGGTCAATGCGCAAACTCTTGTCACTGAACGGCGTCCACCCGCGGTTTTCTTGTTCAATCTACGCCACAACACACGCGTTGTCATCACCGCAGCGAGGTGGGTTCGCCCAACCATATACGGCAGTTCCTGGTTGAATCGACGGTAGAGCTTTTCCCGAATGATCTCTGTGACCAGTTCCAAGTCGCTGCGGTCCGACTTCATGCGCGAGTGAAACATCCACGGCCGTTCAACAGCCAAATCGAGCAGCTCTTGGCGCAGTTTCGCCACGTCCTTTTCTCTGTGCGCCGACACCTTGATGCACTTGTCTCGGAGGTATTTGGTCGGTTCCAGCTCGAGCTCGGACGAGTCGTCCTCGAAGTCTTCAAAGTCGTCCATGTCGAATTCTTCATAGTCGTCGTCGTCGTCGTCGTCGTCTTCATTTCCTTCAAACTCTTCGCCATCGTCGTCTTCAAAGTCTTCAACATCTTCGTCTTTCGGCGCGTGAGTTGCAAAGGCTTCCTCAATCATGTCACTCAGGACCTCGATGCGCTTGGCGACGTGAGGTCGCTCCATCGGCCCCACCAAATCCATCTGCAACCAACAACTATCAATCACACCTACAAGAGCACGTCAACGCATTACCTTGTTCATGACGAGCATGATGGGCGCCGACTCTCTGGCCGACGAGATCGCAATGTCTACGGTCAGCGTCGTGACCTGCATGCATCCATCCCGAATCACAAACGGGCGTACTTTTCAAAGCTTCCAGCGCTTGATCGTCTAAGCGCTTGACAGCGTCCACCACGAGCAGAGACATGTCAACGCTCGGCATGGTTTCCGACGCCGTGACCGCCAAAGACCGCACATATGTGTGAGAATCCCTGTACACCAGTCAGCCATGCGTCGAATCAATACAGGTCGTACTTGAGGTTGACAAGACCAGGGGTGTCGTAGAAAGCAATCTGCGCGTCACCCTTGGTCAGCACGCCCAGCACTCGGTCCCGCGTCGTGTTGTACTTGGCCGACACTGCCGACACCTGCACCACCAATGCATAAGTTCCAGGACAAGATTCGAGCGGCGTACGTTGAAGCCAAGCAGCGAATTCATGAGCGAACTCTTCCCGGCATTCGGCCGGCCGATCACGGCCACATTCAAGCCTCGGGACTTGACACCGCGGGGACTGTCAGGCTCTTCGTACGTGTGCAAAGGCTCAACGATGTCCTACAAGTAGCAGCGTCCGTACGGTGCATGATGCTTCGTCTCAAACACAGACCTGGGACGGCGCTTGCAAGTTGTCGAACACACGATTCTTTTTGTTGAGCTGTCGTTGCATTCTCTTGTTCAGGACAATACCTTCGCTTTTCGTAAGTCTGTCTCCAGGAGGTGGCTTGGGTTCGAATGGTTTGAAGGGATATGCGACGGTCGACGGCGTTGGCGCTGTCCCTGGTTTGGGGACGCGGATCTTGCGCAATTGAGCCCACGCGGCCTCCTTTTCAGCTTGAATGTCATGGATGGTTTTGGCCGGAGCTTTTGCGTCCGACTTGGTGTGCTGTTTGGTCGACGTCTTCGACGAGTCGGCTTGCTTATGTCCAACGAATTTCTTGGACGAAAACGACGACTTTCCCTTGCCATCTTTGTTGTCCTGGTAGCTCGACTTATCCTTGGACCATGGTTTCTTGTCGCGATTGTCTTTGTCGAGCTTGGGCCACGACTTGGCGCCAGTATCATTGCGGAATGGAGACGACGACGATCCCTTGTCGAACGACTTGGACGACTGCTTGCCGCCACGTCGTCCTCGGTCGCTATCATCCTTGCGATACGAAGAGTCACCGAACTTATCGGATCGGCCACCACGCGCCCCCATCTTTTGTTTGAACTTGTCGGCTCGGTCCTTCTTCCACTTGGGTAGTGCCGACTCGTCCTCACCGACGCGTTTCTTCTTCGGCTTGCCCTCTTCAAACGTACTGAATGGCGCGACGCAATGTGCAATCGACGTCGCGAGCGGCACGCATCCTCGCTGGCACAAAAGCGACGACGAGTGCGCTGTCCGCAGCGGCAGTGAGATCCGCCACATTTCCTCGGCGCTGTTTTCGGTTGTGCATCCGCCGCACCACCGCTCCCGACCCAATCAAACGCGACTTCAATTCCGGATATGTATCCGGAAGTTCACTGCGTATTGTGCAATCGAGTCCATCAGCACAGGCCATGGCGGACAGAAACCTGCGCCGCATTGCGCTCCATCGCAGTGCGTTCCAGGGGGCCAGCTCCATGGCGCTGGGCGGTCGGTGCTGTGCGGTGTGTATGCATTGCCGTTTGTGTTATTCATGCCAATTAATATCTCAAAACGCCTGGCGCTTCTTCTTTTCGATGGCTTCGAACGCGATCTGCCACATGCTCTTGATCGTGTCGTAGTTTTCACTGGCAAACTTGGCTGCGACAAAGCGCAGGGACGGCACGGTCAGCGAAAAGTAGTGCAAGTTCCCGTAGCCCTTGTAGATCTTGCTCTTGATTGGGGACAATTTGTGGTCTCCATACAGGCGGAACGATTGAATTTGCGTCGACACTTGGCGCTTCTCGTACAGCGCAATTACGCACTACAGCAGTGACAGCGTCACCGCCCGTTGGTTCCACACCGACGAAGGAACCTACCTCGTGGTACGCTGCGCGTGACACGAAGAGCTGCAGAACATCCATCTTGGCCCCGCCAAACGCAAAGTATTTGCTGTCCCACTTGGCATTGCCTGCGGTCAGATTCCCGACACTGAACGTCCCACCTGCAAGCAACCCCAACATCGTGAGTTCTGAACGGCCCTACATGGAGGGATGACCGGCATACTCGAGATACGCGTCAGCACGGCGCCCTGGGATGTCTCCTTGGCATCGTTGTGCTCTTTCAAGCGGATCGTCATGGGGCGCGGCGCAGACTTGATGAGGTCGAGCACCGTGTTGTAGCTCTCACGGGCCATGTCTTTGCCGTTGATGCCTCGAATGATGCTGCCGACTTTGACGCCGATGCGGTCGGCGGCGCCGCCTTCCACGACCAACCTACAGCCGACACCACATCCGCGTTCAGGATTTGCCCGATCCGATATCGTTCTACTTGACGACGGCAAGCTCGCGCTTTCGGTCTTGCTTGTTCTCTTTGACAAAAGTGTCAACGCGCTCCATGAGCACGCCAAGCTTGGATCCATAGTCAAACACGACCTCGTACTCGTCTTCTTCCATTTCGTCGTCCAGATACTGCGACGGCGCCCTAACAGCCAGATATCACGTCAGAATATTGTCGCTTGGCTCCGTTGTACCGCGTCAACACTGCGCCGCCGTCGGACTCCATGCTGTTCCGTCGCGACCCCGCAGCACTTCGCGGGTTGAAGTCGTCGTCGAGGTTGGCGAATGTGTTGACGGCAAAGATATCGGACGAGTTGGAGACGGAGAACCCGTTGTCGGGGACCGATGGCTTCTTGGGCCCAAGCGACATCTTGTTCATGGCAGCTTCCGCCTCAAGCATGTCCTTAACAGACGCGCGGCGCTGTGGCGATGCCGTCGCGTAGGCCGCAACGTCCAGCGGCCGCCTCGCATCTTCTTGAGTGGGTCGAGTGAACGAAGGCTGGCGGGCGCTAAACGTTGCTTTTTGCTGGACGGGAAAGTCAAATGGGAGATGGGGCGTTGAACCTTTGGGACTGAACGGATCGAAGTCTTGGATCGTGGCTGAGGGGCACGTGGTGTATTGAGACGATTGGGGCGGTGCGACATTGAATTGTTGTTGGTGAGAATTGTACACCAACGAAGAGGGAGGCGGCGGGGCTTGTGTTCCGAAGGGATCGCCGAAAGGGTTATTCGTTACAGGTGGGGAGTTCGCGTTGGAGGCTATGGGATGCGATGGGGTGACGACGGGGTCAGCGAACGGGTTGCGTTGTTGCACGGACGTCGTGGCGAACGGAGAAGGCTGGAAGTTGGCCGTGGCCTGCTGCGTCGTCATGTACTGCGTTCGGGCAGGGCCGTTTGCGTTGGTTTGAATCGATGTTTGGAATTGACTCATGATGTTTTGATGTATCGACGACTGCTTGTGGAGCTGCTGCTGTGGCGGTTGGCTCGGGGCGAATGGAGCAACCGGTGTCGTCATAAAGTTGGCGGCGGCTCCGTTTCCTCGGTGCGACGACGACGGCGCAAACACGTCGAAGCCGGCGAAAGGATCGGACATGATGACCTGGCCTCGCCAATGCAGAAATATCCCAGAAACCCATACTGCTCGAGAAACCCCCACACGGATCTATTTTTAGCAACCGAACGACATCCGGATGATCAAAAAGAGACTTCGCGTGATGCTGACATCTAGTGTTCCGTGCAAGGGAACAAACGTGGCCAAGGTACCGTGGTTAGAAGTTCAGCCGGGAAGGTTGGACGGCGCTGTGCCGCCAACATGATGGGTTATGCCAGAATCATTCGTGGGGGATGCGGCGGGGAACAAGTGACACTGGTTTACCATAGTGTGATTGTTTCGAACTGATCTTGCACATATATTCTTCAATAGACCTCGAACTCAGTATCTTAATGACTGGCGAAAATAAATCGTGTTTACAATCCACGAAAGTTTTATGAAGAATGTTCACAGATTGAATTTGGATGGTGCTTCCATTCACAGACACCCAGAGATTGTGCACTACCTTCGTAGTGCCGGTGTCGTTCCGATTTTCTTGCCCGCATATTGCCCATTTTTCAATCCTATTGAGT